CCGGGGCTCGAACCCGGGCTTCTCGGTTCGCGGTGTGAAACTCTGTTGACGAGAAACCCTGGTCGGAAGCAACTTGTAAATTTTTTGTCCTGTGGAATTCGTGGGTAAACTAGAGATCGCTTCGTCGGCATCGAATCCGGTGCCTCTAGGGTTCTTCCTGTGGTCAGCTTTGAAAACCACAGGTGCCATGTACACCAATTCACCAGATGGAAACATTATTTCCTAGTCACTCCCTTCCTCGAGCAAGAAATTCATCTTCTCCCTTGCTTTAACGCGGCTAGCCAAGAACTGCGCTGGAAGTAGCTGTCTTTTGAGCGACGGGGCAGCACGGTGTTCTGGTATGATCAAGTCGGAATTGGTGCTGATGAAAGGCACGGCTATGCTGTCTGATGAGAGCCTTCATGAGTGTTGCAATTTTGCTTGATCCATCTAGAAACCCAGTATTCAATGTGAAAATCGCATACTTAAAGAAAATTGTAGGCGATAGTACTATTCTGCTGTTACAGTAAAAGTTTAGCTAATATTCCTGCCGTAAACTGTGGAATTAGAAACCATTGTTTCCATGTTGCTGCAGTGACCATGCTAATACTAAAGTACTGATGAAGAGTTGCTTTGGTGGGTAAAGCTTTTGGCAGGTTTTCATAAATTGGCAATTGCAATTTTTTCTTCAGAAAACCGACAGCGTGGTATATTCACTGTGCTGAATGAAATAAATAGAGTCAGCAGATGAATTCTTTCAGTGAGTCGTAGAGTCTAAGTGCCGTCCTCTTACACATTTTCGTTCAAGGTATGATAAAGTATTATCGTAGAGCTCCTAGAAATTTTGGGTGTAAAGTGACTTTCTTCCTGTTAAAGGTCTAAGGATTTTGATAGTTAAATTCATTACACCAATTTTGTCGAAAAAACATTTAGTATACATGAAAGTGAAAGCTTCAGCATTATAGTTTTCTGTGACCTTCTGAGTGTTCAGGATTTTCAGGATGGGATTTGTTGAATGGATTCGGAGGGCACGGAACGAGACCTTGACGATCAGCCGTCAGGCTCTTGGGTTATGTACTTCAATGCCGCTGACAAGAACACTGTACAACTGCAGTAGTCTGATAATGGATGGTGTCGAAACACTGAAGGACCGGCCTCAGGTCGTGATCACGTGGCCGATTGCATTTTGCCGGAAGATTGTGGCACAGTTGCGTCGTTTGTCGAGTTTCGACAAAGCTAAAGCTTCTAATACGTGGAGGGCGTATACACACACCGTACGAAACGTGAATGGGTGGGCGGAGCACTTCTTTGACACGGAAGTTTTGAGTAGAAGCAGACGACCTGCTGGCCATGCGACGGCCAGGATTATGATCACGTTGTTCTTCTGTTTACTTACCAGCGCTGCAGCGTGTGTTGTCGTACAGGCGAACACGGACTGGCTGAGCATTATCGCCAAATCATGTCTGCACTGCTCGTTCAACGTTGCCCTCCTTTCGCTGAACCACTGAATGTCTGTCTGATCATCACTGAGCTACGGTGTTTCGTGCTATGCTCCTAAGCTGTGATGTTCGTAAAGTTTATTAAATCACATGTCGTATACGCGACGAAACAGCACCGTTATGACGACGAACAGGATATCGGGTGGATCAGGGCCGGGTGGGTGAAGGGGGTGCAGGGGGGCACCTACGCGCTTGCCAGAAGCCTGGCAAAAGCCGCACGAAACAAGCGATCATAGGGCGGGCGTGTTTGGTGGTCAAAACGCAAGTGAACGCATGTCGTCCGTAAGTGCTGCTGCTTGACCCCATCCGGACCGTAATGACCAGAGCCGAAGACCGAAAACCGAAGATCGGGTTACTTCCGCTTACGGTAAAAGTCACGAGACGTTAAACGACGACCGAGCAACCAAACGAACGAAGGTCTACCATACAGTTGCACGTAAGTCACACGCACACGTGGCAGGCATCGTAAGCACAAAGGCCCTGAGCAAACAGCGCAAAATCAAAGGTGCGTTTGTATAAGAGAGCGGTATAAAATAAACATCTATAGCACGGACATGACTATAAGTACATAAGTGCGCAACAGAAGCTCAGAACGACCGTAGTCGCCGTCATCGGCATCAACGGTGTCGTGGCCAGTGATGCGTCCGAAACCGTGACGGTCTCTGCGAGCAGGGTCGCTCCGTGCTCGCTCCAGCCCGCCTCGTTCACCGACTGAAATCTGAACGCGTACTTCGTGGCCGGCTTCAGATCCCCTACGGTGTATTGGTTGTCTTCGGCTGAAAAGCATAACTTTAAGGAAAAATAATTTTAAAAAAATTAATAAAAACAATATGAGTCAGAAGCATGGAGCTACGCACTGCTTCCAATACGTGTGAACCGTAACATACGCACAAACAAAAGGGGAAAGG